AATTTGGAATGCATTTCTGGTTGGGTGTTTTTTGCTTCTTCGTATTTCAAATCTTTGACTTGATTCTGCGATTCTCTAATCTGCTGTTGGAACTCTGCATAATATCCTTTATTTCAATCAGTGCATGCTTAATTTGTAGTTGGTTCTTTTTTATAACATCAAGGGTCTCACTAGATTACTTGAGGGTCTCAATAAATTAATCGGTGGTCTCACTAGATTTCTTGAGGGTCTTACTAAATTTATAGGCGGTTTCTAGATAATTCTTGAAAAACCTAAAAAGTGTGGTTTTGAACTCTATGTCCTGTAGTTTGCTTTTCTCCATTTCTGTCATTTGTGACCTGTTTCTTTCTCTCTGCATTTTTTTATGCTTCCCTGTGTTGGTAGAGTGGCTTTGTGTGGTAGGTCTCCTATAGGGCCCAGTGCACTCCTCCCACTGGGTACACTGGCTCTTGGATCTCTAAGGAGGTGCTAATTTAGCCTCTTCCTGAGGCTTCCCAGCAGGAGCTATGGAGAGATTCCTCTCCTTTGTTGGGGTTTGGAGTTGCCCAGATGAGGCCCAGCTGTGAACCAGTGCAAGCTGCTGTGGGGCTTTGGGCCTTCTTTTAGAAATTCTAGGTCTCTCTGAGTCAGCTGCAGTTTGTTAGGTAATTTTCAGGTTGCAAAGGGCCAGGCCTTTCATATGCAAAGCCTCTGTGCACAGCTTGGGTGGGGCGGGGTCTCAGAGGATCAACAGGGCGGAGCAAACAGCTATGGCTGCTCCCCAGTCCTACCCTAAGAGGCTCCACTTATCAGTGTCCAGGTAAACGCTGGAAGTACCTCTGAGAGAAAGCTGCCCTCAAGTTCTGCCCGATGCCAGACAGTGCAGTTTCTCCCCATATGAGTCTGGGTCCCCAGAGACTCAACAAGAACTGGAGTTCAGAGCAGTCGGGAGCTTAAGACTCCCGCACGATTGAAAAAGACAACCATGTCCTCAATTTCCAGCCCTGTCCACGTGCACCGCGTCCTTAGTTTCCAGCCCTTTATGCGTGTGCCTTGTGCCTCTGCACTTTACTTCTGCACCTCCTCTGAGTCTCAGTGTGCTTTTCTCTTTCCTTCTAGTTGTAGAATTTCCACTCCACCAGCCTTCCTTTGGTTCTGGATGATGTCCGTTTTGTCTTTTAGTTGTATTTTTGAAGTGGTTGTGCAAGGCAGCAATTTCAGGTGTTTACCTATGCTGCCAACTTGGTTTCTCCTTTTCTCGCCTAGTTTAAAATGTCATTTTACTATGCATTCAATTCTCAAGTTATGTTTTTAGTTTTGGGGTTTTCTGTTCTCATCCACCAAATGGTCTGCTTCTTTTTCATCTGTGATACCACTGTAATAAACCCAGTTACGAACAAGGGGAGAGGAGCAAAGGGAAGGCCAAATTTCATAGGCATGTCTTTAGTGCAGCTTTGCCAGAAAACTGCAATTTAATACTCCCCAGAGCTATTCCCCGCAGATGGCAGGGGGAAGGCACTGGACAGGGGAAGAGTAATTGCATCCCCTGTCAATTCTCCGTGAAATAGGGGAGGCACTGGCCTGTCAGTGACACCTGGGAATAGGTCATTGGTTGCAATAGGTGTGGCCACTGCAAGTGGGAGAAGATGTAAGACACTTACCTCCTAAACGAAGGAGTTCTGTCTCTTGCTAGGCCCACACTCCAGGCCTGCGGGACTCTCGTGCTCCTGCTTTTGGCCACAGAGCCCAAGGCCATGTGGACCCCACACACAATGGACTAATGGACTGCAACGAAGCTGATGTCATGCAGGACCCAGCTCCTCCAGGGGAAGGAAACTCTGGCACTGGCTCTGCTTCAAGCTCTTCTGAGTCCCCAGCTGCACATTTTCCAGGCCTGGATTAAGGGATACGGGACTTGGCAAATGCAGGGATGTCAACCACTCCTCCTCCAGTGTGAGTCTCAGACATTTCTTTTTCTCCAGATATTGTAAGGACCCAACTCCAAGCACCCAGTGGGGAGGGGGATTCCCACTTCCACTGATAATACTGTGTGGGGACTTTAGGTCTCAGAGTGTGTAAGGGCTGCCAGGCACATCCCCTGAGCTTGTCAGGTTTAGTATGTGGTCACTTTTTTGTTCACACTTGACCTGTTAAGTCTTTGTTTATTGTCTACTTTCTCCCAACTAGAATGTGCCATCCGTGAGAAAGCTAATCATTTTCTTCACCATTTATCTGCATTGCTTTTAGAAGAGTAGATGCTCAATAGTTTCTCATTAACTAAATGACTGAACTAAGAAATTGCCTAACTTATATGCCTAATTTATACCTTTATGTCTCCACCACCTCTCCACATAGAAATATTTGAAGACAGCTGTATAGGGGAAGAGGAGTTTCATGCAACCCTATTTACAAACCATAATGGATTTTAACTGCTGTATATTCAGATCTCCCCACGTTCTCTCAGGAGACTCCCATCCACAAAGCCACTGGGGTTATTCCAGTCAGTCAGTCCTTGGCTGTGAAAAATGGGAGGGCCCAGAAAGGCCCTGTGCATATGCATTACTTCTTTTCATCACTTAATCTTTGTAATATATTCTAGAAGAATAATTGCTGGATCAAAGGGGGAAGCCTCAGGTAGCCCAGCCCTGCCACAGGTCCCCCAGTGAGAGAGGTGGGGGGCACAGACTCAGGTCCCCAACATGCCCCGCTGGGTAGGGGCGCAGCCTCAGTATCCCAGGCCTGGCCTCAGGGCTACACGGCTTCAGGTCTCTTGGCCCATCCTCAGGTCCCCTGTCAAGCCCTGCTGGGGCTGGGGACACAGCCTCATATCCCCCTGCCCAGCCTCAAGTCCATCAGCCCCAGCGTGAGTGCGCAAGGGTGCAAGGTCACAACGGTGCAAGGGCACAATGACCATTTTCATGTTAGCTCTTTATTACATAGGATTGCTGACTAGATTACAGATGTTCCCAATGTCCCCATACTCCTCCCCACTTTTCTCCCTCTACTCTGCCCCCAATGCTTCTAGTCCCTTGCCACAGTATAGTCTACATTCATGGCCTATGCATATATGTATATACTTTGTTTAAAATATTTTTGTTGATTTTAGAGAGTGGAAGGGAGAGGGAGAGATAATAACATCAATGATGAGGGAGAATTGCTGATTAGTTGCCTCATGCATTACTCCACCCCCACACTGGGAATTGAGCATGCAACCCATGTATGCTCCCTGACAAGGAAAAGAACCAGTATCACATGACCTCATCATTTGTGGAACATAATGAACAGCATAAATTGATGAACAAAAATAGATTCAGAGACATAGAATCATCAAACAGACTGTCAAACTTTAAAGGGAATTCAAGGGAGGGAGGGGGTTAAGGGATCAACCAAAGGACTTATATACATTCATATAAGCATAACCAATGAAATAGACACTATGTGGGAGGTAAGGGCATGTGCTGAGGCCTGAGAGTAGCTGGTCAGAGCTCAATGAGGCAAAAAAGGAGTTATATGTCACACTATATGTAATACTTTAAACAAATAATTTTAAAAATAAAAATAAAAAAGAACCATGACCTCCTGATTCATATGTCTAGGCTGAACCTCTGAGCAACACAGCTTGGCTA